CAGCTGAAACAGGTGAAATGCGGCTAATGAAATATTCACAGGACAAGAATGAAGAATTCCATTCATGAATTCTGCATTCTTCTCATTTCCTCGTGGTCTTGCATCCGTCATTTGCTCCCTGCTCCTCTGAGCGCTATTAGTGCACTCTGCCCCCTCCCTACCCCCGTTTCTTTTCATCGTCCTTCGCCTTCCCCCTGTTATCAAAAGAAACGCTTCAGAGCACCCTTCCGACCTAAATATAGACGAGCACAAACAAGATGCGGAAAGTAGAGGAAGAAAGACAGGGGGAGGGGGGGGTGGGATAGGGGAAGGTTTCAACGTCAGCCCAGAAAACGCACTCACGGGGGTTGACGTAATTCACAACACCTCATGTGCAGTCAACTCGGACGTGACCTTGTGCGTACGCAATCTTTCTTTTCCTTCCTCCTTTTTTTTTTACCGTAAGCCAGAGCACTGGGTGTTGACAAGGGGAGGGAGGGCGTAATCACGTAGCCAGGTTTTGTGCGCATTTATCATTCGACCCGCTCTGGAGCAGAGGAGAGCTAAGGATAATATTCCTCAAGTTTCACAAGAATGATTGCCATGACCACACCAAATGCGCCTCGATTTGTTTGTTGTCCGAATACAAGCAGGGAACACAGGCACCAAGACAAATGACATGCTGTATTGCATGGAGTATTTTCTATTATGCTGCATGTTGCCGAAAGGGTCATTCTATAAATTAGGGGTCCAATTTTTTCGTGTCCCTGTATGATTTTGTAAATTTAGAACAATTCTGTAATTTCCACGAGTGATGAATTCATGCAAATAACCCGCCAAACAAATGGAGAGCTTGCATGTATCTTTTATGCATCATCTGCGTACAGCATCCCGGATATTTACAGACTGGGAATTGTAATCCATGGTCATTAACATTTTTTCCATTATTCCAGTAATATCGCCAGGAACTGATGTCGTAAAGTTAGTTCATATTAATTAATTGCCGCTTGATAGACATACATGTATCTGCACATGATGTATTAATTTTCTTAAGTGCTGAAAAGAAGCATGTATTCTAGTGTAGACAAGACTTTTTAATGGGACCTGTATATTTTTGGTTTTGTTTTGTTCTTGGTTCTTTAAAGGGGCTTTATATTTTCATTTGGGCAAACAAGTTTTTAGGAGGACCTGGTTTTGGAATGGGTTCTGTATACCGTATGTACATCAATGGTTGCTCCTTTATCTCTTGAAGCAGATACCTCGGTTGAGTGTTTGGACTTTGTGCAAGCTTTTTCTGGAAGGATGTTGACAAACTGTTTATTAAACTAGTGCTTACTGTGAAGATACAGTGAGAGAGAGGCAGAAAGGATGGCTCAGTGAGATTTTCTGGCCAGTGTTGTGGAATGTCTTTGCGGAAATGATCTCTCGATATTTAACAACTTTTCGGAAGAATGAACATGGCTGTACCTGTGCTATACCCATGTAGGCATGTTCAGGCATTTCCTATGGATACATCTGCGACCTGACCTTTTGGCGTCAAGTTAATAGGAGCTTTCCTGCCAGAGATTTTTTTCATCTACATGTACATATAGGAAGTATTTGCCACACATGCACACTGCACAAGGCATTGGACACCTGGGTGACTCTTCAAATGATACATTGCCATGATCATGTTCACCACACAGTTGTTTGCATACAAAATGCTAAATCCTTTCTGTCCATGCTGTCCATGTTTACATGGACAAGAGACAAGCACAACGAAAACGAGGGGCACAGTTCTGGCATCCCCATGGTCTGCCCCCGGGCTTGTACATGTATGCGCCCCTCCGTAAATGGCAGTATGGATTTCTTTGCCGCGCCACTGCGCATTTTCTTGCCGATAAACGCTCGGGCCATTAAACCGTCGCAGTCGGTGCTGTCCACATTCTCCACAGAAAGAAAGAACCAAAATAGGTTGACCCGAATTGAAGGGAGCACACATGCATGTGTACAGCACCGGTACATGACGCACAGGGCTGCACATAATGAAAGCCAGTTACCGGTACATGGTACGTATGCGCACCGTCTCTAACCGCGGCATCAGTACCAATTCATATGTGTGGATGGACGTACATGCATCGCATTGGGACATTCATGCAGTTGAGGCGTTTTTGAATTACTCTCTCACTCTCAGAATGTGTCAAATAAAATTGTGCATATTTCATGGTTGCCTACGTCATAGGTTGCTAAGGTTGGGAGGGGGCATACATCATGGCAAACCGAATGCCGTTTGACACACGGCGAAAATTGGACTACACTGTGGTGTGTAAACATACTTGTACGTGTGAATTTATGAATTGATCGTGGATTTTTCCTGCTGTTTATATATTTTTATGCAGTACATGTCTGCTGTGAAGGTTCAGGTGAGAAAAAGTACGGAGCTTGGTGATAAGCAGTGCTCGATTAGACAATTCACGACGCGTTACAGTTTCGTTTGAGCGATAGTAAAAAAGAAGTTAAGACTACAGCTGTAACCTGAATTGGATGTCTTAAAAAAAACACTTTGAAGGGAAGGGTTGATGAAAAAACATGTGTATGACAGGCCACACAATTCAAGTTCAGTACAGGGTACCATTACATGTGCATCTTGGCGTAAATAACATACAATTTTCATTTTGTTTACAGCGTACAGGGAGACACGGCCAAATATAGGAGCCATCAGAATGGTGAAATCGAATTGAAGCAGAATTTAGCCGCATGAACTATTCATAAAACACTCTGCAAATTCTAGTCTCGGTTTTCACTGTGGGATAGATTTATGAGCAGAGTGGTGAGAGTTGAGAAATTTATGTCCTCGGAAAAGAGTGAGGACATACATCAGATTGGGAACCAGCGCTACAGTTTTACCGCAAATTTTTACAAATGTGATTTCTATTCTTTTTCTATTCTTTTTCTGTTCTTATTCTATTTCTATTCTTTTTTTTCCCTCCGGTCACCACATGTACCGTACGCCACTGCATTAACGGCCCACCCAGTTGCACCTACAGTCTCCCTGTTCACCCATTATAAAGTTACTGGCACCTACAGGTACCCAGTACCTAATGGGAACATTCTTTTGTTTTTGTGTTAAAACTAATCTTGAAATTACTCAGTTTTCTTGATCTGTGCACCCTCTTAAGTTGGATTTTTGTCGATGGTTTCCTTGTCTGTTCCGCTTAGTTCCCTTCGCTGTGGATAACCGTTACCCCAAAATGCTAACTAGATGTACATACATGTATGTGTATGTTTCCCAGGAAGGGGGGGGGTAACCTCTAATGGACCTGGCTTTGTCCACCCAAGGTTCTCACAACCTGTATTCGGAGGATGCGTTTGCTGTCAGGTCCACACAAAGGTGGCAAGGTTGGCATGCACCCTGGTCTGTGCATTGTCCATTGGAGTGCAGTCAGATACGTGTAGGCCCTACATGTGCATGGATTGTTTCTAATGCTAGAAACTTCCCCTAACCGAAGATGCGCAGTTAAGTTTTGCCAAGAGATGCATTTTGGAAGAAAGTGAAACTTACATATTTGTCGTGTTTGCAGCAGACCAGAAATGGTAGGGTACTCTCACTTTCACAGCGTTTGCCTAATCATTTTTGCCATAATTAGAGCACTTCATAATGTGTTCTTCATGTGCGTCAGCATGGCGACTTACATACAGGATTGAAACTGTGTTATGTAAAAAGCTACGTCCATTTTCATGTCCAAACTAATGGGTAAATTGTGCTCAGTCCATTTTGACCATAAATGGAACTAACTTTGTAAAAACATGAATTGTTCTATTATTTTGTTTCAGCCGTAATGTACAGCCTGAATGTGTAATCACGTATGTAAAATGCTCTTGGATGATCAAAATGCTATCATCAACGGCGAAACATGGCTAACGTGACTGGTTCCCTTTATGGGTTTTTGTTTGATTACTGAAATGAGGTAGTGCGGCGGCAAATGCAGCCTACCGGTACATTGTACATGTACAATTGCTCGGATGTTTACCGTGTTCATACTCAGGGGGGGGGCGATGAAAGAAGAGAGTCTTACTCGATGGGGTTGGGGGATGGGGGAGAGATCCATAAGTGAAGGAATGGCAGATGACATCACTGCATGCTGGTTATTATGCCCGTCTCATTAAAGTCATTTGAGCGTGTGACATGATACGTGTGCATACGTGTACACGGTGGCTGCCTCGTGCCCTGGTCACATTTACTGCTGCTAACATCTGTACGGTTTGGAAGCGGGCACTGCACACTGCACACACACACACGCACTCGTACATGTACACGATCTGTTTATGCCAAGTGGGTGAAGGGATCCTCTCAACAAATACGGAGAGAGTAAAATTACGAATCAGACAGGGATTTTTAATGACAGTTCTGCACGCTTGCGTGGATCTATTTCTTTGTGCTGTGTTTCGGGCGGGGAGGGGGATTTGGGAAAGAATCGGACTCGATAGGAAATAGCATTCCAGTTTATTTGGAGTTACATTTACCGACATCAATAAATTTGTTGGGGCTTAGTGATTTCCCTGAAGTGGGGATGTACAGTGTACCCGTATGCATTCACCGTAATGCCTTCAGTGTCAATTTTGGTATGTGTCTGGGATTCACATGCCTACTGCTGGCAATTATTACTGGTACTTGAATGAATCACATGCATTTTGAAGGTAGATACTTGTACGTGGATATGTATATTAAATGGCTGTTTACGTTCGCCACTGACAAGTTGACTTTGTTGGATGATACAAGTATACATGTACATGCATGTACATGTGTATGTATTTAAGTTAGTTTTGTATACATGTAGGTCTGCATATTGCTACATGTATTTATGGGACCTGTGTGGGAGAAATACAGGGCAAAAGGACTGTTTGTTTTTATTCGAGGAAACTCAACAATGGACAACACAAACCAGAAAGAGCCGTCAGCCCAGTGCCAGAAAGACACGCGTGCCTGTACCTATGCCTTTGTGCCCAGCGAGGTTTTTAACTTAACTCAGAGACCTGTCCAGATTTGGCCGGCCTGGTGTGGACTGCCACGTACGTCACGACAGCGACACGGCAGTACTGCAACTCATGTTCCTTGTCAACGAGGTAGGAATTCCCGCGTGAACCCTTTGGCGGGAGAGTTGGGGGAGAGGATGCAGTCAAGTCCGTGCATGCTGCAAAGGGGGCGTGGCAACGAAAGCTGTTGCCCCCCCTCCCCATTAACAATCAAAAATAAACGGGAAAATAACGAGAGGAAAAAGCGGAAGAAAGGAGTACAAAGCAAATGAAAAATCACCGATTTGGTGGAATATATCTTAGATTGGTCCCTCTTCTACCGGTTATGGTTTATCAGTTTGCCTGTGCTGAGTACCCCCCCCCCAAAAAACTCCTCTCCCATCCGGACAAATCATGGCAGTGCCACAGTGTGATTGTGTATAATGTGATGTACAGCCAATGGTGTGAAAAAAAGTAGAGATGGGATCCACTCTATGGTCAGTGTAAGTCAGTAATTCAGTAGTAATCAATTTTCAGGTTATCAGTTCAAACTGCCAGCAATTGTTGGAGGGTATCCTTCTGCCGCTCTTCCACCAGCGTTAACAATTTTCCTGGGACTTTATTTGTGATCAACTCTGTTGCGACATTTAGCTGACATGAAGCAAAAGGTGGATGTGCTTGGATTCTTGAAAATGCAATACATGGAACAAGAGAGGGTAGTTAATCGGCTGCAACGTCACACTCTTCCAATCTGACAGTGTTTTGATGCAGTTGAGACTGTCACTGACCTTTGTAGGTCCTCGCACCTCCCTCACAAAAACCGTGAGTCAAGTCGACGCAAGCTCTTCAAAAAACGAACTTTGTACTCGCGCATCGCCCTGCCACTGTTGGTCCTCAGTCGCTTACAACGGAACTTGTGAATAGACTTGTGATTTGATTTTGATTTGACTCACTACCGACTCCCGACATGATCCGGCTTCGTCCCAGAATGTCCTGGCCAAGGGTCAAGCTGTTTTGCGGCGTCAGAGTTTCTTGTATAATTCCTTCTTTCTTTTCTCCTCCAGGGTGCTCTAGTCAGTGTGTGTGCCGATGACAGTCTGCATCTATGGAACTTACGACAGAAACGACCAGCAATACTACACTCACTTAAATTCAACAGAGAAAGGTGCGTTAGCCCCCCCCCTTTCCACCGCTACCCACTACAGACAAACTGTTTGATTATTGGCAAGGTTTTATTCTCTGCCATTGTTTTGTTGGTTGTCACATTTTTTTTCCGAAGGTGACTGTCATGGCACTCTTCTTTACAATACATTTGTAATGCACATTGTAAAGCAGGGGATCGGTGTGTGCATGTGCACGTTAAAATACACTTTCACCATCCAATACAAGGTTTCATAGAAGAACAGTTTAAAATCAGAGTAACCGTGTGCTAAGTGCTTTGCGAGAGCTTTGCGAGACAAAAATAAGTTTCAAACTTACGATTCAAGTTTGACGTTTCAGCTTACCAAATGTGCCTCCTGCTTATCAGATAAAAAAAGAAATTTGAAAGCAAGCTGATGGAGCACTTTTGGTTGTGAAATGGCCGGTTGAGACATCTTCATCAGTGAATGTGAACTGAGAAATTCAGGGTTTGAAACCTTTTTGGACACCTTGATCTTCAAAGATGAAGGAAACTTGTAAAACAAGTAGTTCATTTGGTCAGCATATATGGAAAGGGGTCAGGAAATGGTAGTCGTTAGGCCCTGACTTCACACTGTCTAATGTAGGTGGACAAAAGGGTTCCAGGGATCCCCAAAGTATTTTCAGTGATCTGCTCTGAGCGGAACAAAAGAGGGCGTTTTTTTTGGTACTCGCCACTTAGGCGCGTGTTTATAATGGAGATTGGCGGCCTAGTGGCGCGTTTGACTCGGAGCACGCTGATTACGCGTAATGAAATTATTCCGTAATGTATGGTCTTTGCGTACATACAGAACGCATGCAAGAACCCGCTTGGAAAACCTACAACTATCTGTCTTTTTTTTTGCGGCTTGGGGGTGCACTTTAACTTGGGGTGGGTATTGTGCATGCCCTGTTCCAGCAGTGAGGGAAAAGAGAACAGGTTTGGCTAAATTTCTTGTCGCTTTTTTTCCCTACAGAATAACACACTGTACCCTCCCATTCCAAAGCAAATGGCTGTACATAGGCACAGAGAGAGGGAACGTCCACGTCGTCAATATTGAGTCCTTTGTTCTCTCCGGTTATGTCATCAACTGGAACAAAGCCATCGAGCTGTGAGTACTCAAACCTTTTTTCAAAGTATACTTTGAGGGCTGAGCGATAAAGAGACCACTAGACAGGTGCCAAAATCTTACTCTTTAAATGTTACAGAAAGCCTGGTGAAGGGTGTTGCTAAGCTACATGTACTCTTTCTTCAGCAGGTCAAGGGTCCCCAGCCGGCAACTTTTGAATGGAATTTTTCAGCCAAATGAACTTTTGGCCATCCTTTTACTTTTTTGCATGCAGTGTTAAATACATTTTTTTTTTCTTATCAGTCATTCAGGATTACAGCCAAGGTTGTTACGTCTATATTTGCCATTTGGCGACAGTGGAACCCTGGGGATGTTTTCTCAGAGGTTGTAATTTGTTAACAGCGCCCTCAAACTCCCTTTAAACTTGATCTGCATGTGATTCGCTGTGCAGGCCATATTTGCTGTAGAACCAACAAATAGATTTTTGAATTTATATGCGCTAGAAACATCTTCCATTTTCATTCAAAACCTGGTGATAAATTTCCTCCTGGCAAAACAAAGGTCAAGATTGGTGCCTGCCAATGAGACTCTGCGGGTGTGCCTTTGCCAACCTAGTGTCCACCTTTCTCTGAAAAAAAAAAGTGCATTTGTCGTTTCCTTGCATTACATGATATGGATTCCAGTCCAACATGATTGGTTTTTCATCCTCAAACTGATTCGATCATTTTTAAATTTTCGGTCCATTTTTAGGCCCTGAGGCTTTAGTGCCAGGGATACTTTTGAGTTTGTCTTTTATTGTATAACCAAAATAAATGAAATGAACATTCAACTTTATTGGTTACTTGCCTGAAACAGAGGCCTTGAAAACAAACATGAAACAGAACAAACCGAGTTTTACCAAATTTAACACCACTGTCTGTTTGAGTTTGAGAGGTTCTTAAGAAGACAGAAGGTTTCAAAGGCTGACATGTACTTGTGCTTGTATGCCACAAAGCTTTAGGAATTAAGTTGATAACTCGACTTTGTTTTTATTTGTGATTATCCTTAATCTTCACAAAGCATTACAGGATGTTCATGCACATGTGTCATTGTTGTAAGAAAGCTTGCTTCCTCGTTGCGTAAGCTCCCAAAAGAGCATCTGTGATTAAGGTCATTCAGTAATAAGCTGCGCATACCAAAGGTTTAGCTTTTAAATATCATCAAAGGTTTTGGCATGAGAAACGTGGTGACGCTACCTGTTTTTTTTTTTTTTCCTTTTATATATTTCTGATGGCTTGCAGTCACAAGTTGATTGCATGAGCCATGTTGCAGCAAACCGTTTTAAATCTTTAATTCACAGGAACGCGTGACCGATCCGCTTTAAAATATTCATGCGGATTCGTCGCCAATCTGGGTCGGGTGGCATCAGTCATGGTTGCAGGAGAAAAAATATCTTCTGCCGGGGGGGAGGGGGAAAGACATGGGAAGGAGGAAGGAGTGTCGTGTTTAGTAAATAGTGTGTATTGTTGTACATTCTTAATCAGGCATGTCACCTTCAATTGGGCTGATTTCCATAGTTTTCATTTATCGCCTCAGTGGCTTCTGACTTGGGTCCAGAGACCATAATGGGAGATTCATTTCCATACATGTCCATGTGCTGTTCATGTACATGTACTCTGTCCATTCAGAGCTGGATCAGATGGTATACATGTAGTTTATGTATGGTGTTCCCATAGTGCCATTGACTAGTGCAAAAGTCTTCATCCACCTGGATGTTTCTTTCTTCGTATCCAAATACATCAACAGCATTTCTGCTCACTAGACGAGCCTACCAAAGGCACTGGCCATATTTGCAGCTATGCAAGCAGATTGCTATATATTGGTGGAAGAAAAAAAAATCCTTACGTTGTCCAATTACACAAGACCTCACTGGCCATTTTGGTTGAGAATCTCATCTTGCCAAATAGCATGTACATGTCTATGGGATACATGTACACAGGAATCATAAATATACACTGTACATGTCTTCAGGTTGGCAATTTTCAAACTTATCCTGCTGCGGTCAGCCACAAGCTTGCAGCAGGCGGACTGCCTTAACCGTAACCTCTAACATACATGTAGTTTGCAGAAGACCCATCGAAATCCATCAAAATCATCCCCCTTGCAGAATGGCACCCATTTCATCCTTTGCACCGAAACTCTGTGGGAAGTACTGCCCTGTCTCTATCTTCCCACATCCCATAAAGTCTTTGCCCACATCCTCCGGCTGGATGTTTGAAAAATCTTGCCGGGTCTAAAGGGGTTTGAAGATGTGCGGTTTGATTGGGACTTCAATTTGCATTTCAGGTCACGAAAGACCCATCCTGGGCCAGTTGTTCACCTCAGCGACAACCCAACAGATGCAAACAAGGTCAGTTCCATCCCACCACGCTTGTGACACCGTATCGGTCGGACCATTTGTCACTGTCACTGAAGGTTTTCCCTTCCCCAAGGCCAATTTTCAGAGCGAGAGAGAGAGAGAGAGAGAGAAAATGCATATGTACATATGTATTTCATCCTTGTATTAACAAATCAATAAATAAAAAGAAAATGGAAAAGATTTTTCTATCCCACACTGTACTTAAAAAATTCAATTATGAAGGATAATGCTTGTGGGCAAGGATGAAGTACAGTACCTGATCTGTGCTTGGCAGTAACTTATAAAAATAGGCCTTTACTGCAAAACTGACTTTCATTTTAGAAGGGAGGGTACATGCACATGTGTAGAGAATTTCCAGTCACGTGATGTTTGACAGTTGGCGTTCAATTTACACGGATGTGTGTGGAAACACGCGCCTTCAAAGTCTCTCAACATTCGGGCGTACTTGAAACTGCCAACAGAAATACACAGATTTGAAAATCCGCACGCCTCCACGGACATGGTACGGTGCGCTTCCTAAAATGCCGTTGGCAGTCATGTTATGTCACATGAAATGCAGTGTACATGTACCTCTTTGTAATACTGTTAGACTCCCAAAACTAGGCAGAAGTGGTGGCCAATAGCCATTGTTTTCATGTACAAGTTATTTAATAGTTTGAACCTGTTTCTGATTTTGAGGCAGGTGTGGTGGCCATTGTTTTATTGTAAATAATGTGATTGTTGGAATCAGCGCCTACTCGTTTTGAGAAGGGCTTGGTCTCTATTGTTTTATTGTCGGGTGTGGTGTCCATTGTTTCATTTCGTGATTTCTACTGCTAGAGCCAGTTTCTTGTTGGTTTTGAGCAGGGCGTGGTCTCTATTGTTACATTTTTTCATGATTGGATTGGGCTCGGTGTCCATTGTTTCACTTCACACAATTTCCATCGCTTGAACTAGCTTCTGATCGGTTTTGAGACGGGCGTGGTGGCCATGTGGGACCTGCGGACCAGGGCGGCCGAGCAGCGCTTCAACTGCAGCCAGCCAGTGCGCTGCATCTCCTGGCACCACGAAGGCAAGCAGTTCATTGTCAGCCACACCGACGGCACCCTGACCACGTGGAGTGTCAAGAATGCCACCAAGCCGGCAAATATCATCTCGCCGCATGGTAGGGAACCAAACTTCGTCAACCCCTCCTTCCTGTTTCCCCTGCCTCTTTGCCCTAAGGCATCAACGTAGCCCGGTTGAATCGGTCTAGAATTGCCAATCTCAATCTCTCTCCGACCTCAGGATTGGGTTTTCAATTTCACGAATCATGTCCTGTCGCCCAGGTCCATCTGTCTCATTTTCTGCCACGAAGTGTTCATTGCGTGGACACAAAAAGTTTGTCCGTACTTTTGTAAGACCCTTGTGTAATTTTGTATTCTTCCCTGAACTCACCCACAGCTAAAGTGCCTGCCAAGGGGTTGAAGCCTGAGCCATGCACACCAGTACTCAAAGTAGAGTGGAGGTCAGTGAAGAACGGGTAAGATACTGCAGAGCAACCGCAGTCTTTGTCAAGCTGAACCAAGTACTGTGAGAAATCAGTCAAGGTCTCAATATCTTTTAATGATGAACCTCCTCATTAACCTAGCCATGTCATTTTGAGTTGATGCCCTCGGAACAAGCTTGCTTCTTAATAAAACTGATCAGTAACCTTTAATAAGCTGTTTCTTTTCAAAATCGCCAAGAAAATGCGAACAGGGGTGGATGGAAGGAAATCTGAAAATGTACAAGAAGACTTAGAGCGCAATTGTTCTGAGATTGAATCATATTTTAGAAGAGCCATGTGAAATGTTTCCTCCGATCTTCTTTCAGGGACCCCTTCATTCTCTTTTCGGGGGGTTTGCCGTACGAGAAGGCCAGCAGTACTCCCAGTATCACCATCATGCAAGGCAAGACCACCACCGTTCTCGAAATGGAGCACACCGTCGTGGACTTCCTGTGTCTGTGTGACAACCCCTGGCCAAGCAGTAAGACCCAAACGTTGTTTGTTTGTATTTTTGTCCCGCGGTTTGTTTGTTGTTTATTTTGTGGGTTTTTCTATCGCTTGGGGTCTGGGATTGTTACAGTAGGAACAGACAGCTCGGGAAGCAGCAAATGTGCACGACAGAAACCAACGTCTTGGCAAAGAGTGTTTCTGACTTACTTGGTCTTGTTTTTTGCTGTGTCTTACCAACCGGTGTGTCGACTACCAACCTTTCATACAGTACCTAGTGTTGACCTATCAACAAAAGAGGTCCCCCTGTGAAAAAAAAAAGTCATTGCAGGAAACATTTCATCTTTCCCGTTGCCCAGAATTTGTTTTACCAGAGTCATGAGATTAACTTTCAACCCATATTCACGTGTCACGTCAATCCAATTAAGAATCAATTGAATCTAGTTAAGGCTCATTTATCCCTCGTTTACTAGCTCTTGAAGGAAATTTTTTTTTTTGGCCTACCTCAGGCCCCATCTTTGGCTCGTGTCCAAGAGCTGCCGAAATGAGCCGAATATGATGGCAGCCGGTTGTTTTAACATTTGCAATTTGATTTTCTAGTGTGGGGATCACGGCAGCGTTGATCCAATTCATGCAAAGATCTAATTAGCTCTGTCATTTTGTGACTCGGGGATGAAAGATTCTTTTATTCAGGGATGGGCCTTCAGGGGTCCTTTTATCTTTTCTCTTGGTTTTTCCTGCTGTGTGAAGTCATTCTCTGTTATTTCAGCCAGGTCGCCACTTAGCATAATCGGTTGATGGTGTGGTTTCAGCCTAGTCATGCTCTTGTGTAGTTATAATAGGATTTGCCCTCGGTAAACCTTTGCTGGTAGTTTTTCTTTCAAGGGGGATTAATAGCAATCTGGTCATGAGTGTTTGCTTGCCGTGTTTCTAGAAATCCCTCTTGGTTGTGGAGAACAACTTCCATATTCTAACAGGCCGTCTTGATCTGTAAGTTATTTCATATTGCACGAATTCAGGTGACGTTTCAGCAGTTTTACACAGGTGAGATGATCACCAGTATTAAGATAGCCAGTGGTGTGCAAACCTTTTTATACATGTGAAGAAATACCACTTGATATCCTGACTGTCAACCGAATCCAGTGCGGCTCGATTGTCTTGGTTTTAAACATATTAAGTAGCCTCATCCTTAGATTCATGTATATGGACAGCCTAGTGCCTGTCGGCCAGCGAGTAACAACGTTGTTTCTGCTTTCAGATCCCCAGGAACCATATGCTGTAGTGGTCCTTTTGGAGAGTGACCTCGTGGTCGTTGACCTCACATCACAAGGGTAAGCCACAGCCATCTTTGAAAATTCCTTTTTGCTGCCCACATTAGAAATGACGTGCTGAGATGTAAAACTTCTTTTTTGGCAGTGAGCCCTTGTGTTGCTGAGCAAAATATGTAAAAACAAAACAAAAAAAACCAGATGCAAGAGAAAATGTACGGATGAAGATTACAACTTAGCCCGTACAATTCCTTGAAGATATTGCCGTTGTAATCTGAATGCGTTATGGTCACCCAGTGGAGCTTTGATTAGTGAATCAGCCGTCCCGCGTGACTTCTCATTCAGCCGCCACTTCCTGTGGCTTTTGTTTGGCTTTGCGCCTTTCTAGCGGAAGTCGGTCGGTGAACTCGTACCTCCTCTGTGATCTGCAATTGCGTACTTACATCAGCGTGATGTAATTTGTTTGTTTACCATTCCCAGCTGTACCATTTTATGTGCGCTGTTTGAATTTTTCTTTAATCATGAAGAATGGACCCTATTCACATGGAGGCCATTTTTTATCTTATTCCCCAAATCTGTTTTACATATTGTGAACTGTCGATTAGGATGGCACCAGACTGTTTTATACTTCTGTGCTTTCCAAGCCTCCCTTTCAATAATTTTCGTTTTCTGGCAATGTAGAATTCTGTCTGGTCAATCATAAATTTGAAATTATTTATCAGAGTAGACTGGTGCAAATTTGTCAATGAAATTTCATTTTATTGCTTTATTTGTACTCAACATTCAAAAACGAGGAGTTACCCTTGCTTTCAAATTCAACATGGCCGGCCCCGTAAATAAAGTCTATTGGCTTTGCAGGTATCGGAAAGCGTTGAACTTTCAACAGAATAGCCTTTCCAGTATACCTGAAATCAATTCCCAACTGTGCTACTGCCTTTACCTTAGATTTGCTGTCCAACCTGAGGGCCACTCTATTATTCATTTGGCATCCCCACCTGTTTCAGTTTTAATCAATCCCTGCAGTTTCATACAGTTTTGAAAATGCTTACTCAGTTTAGGCAGCAGAATGTTAATAGTGCAGCCCAGATTGTACTAGCAATTCCTCCACGATCTCAAGTTGCCTATTCACCCAGAGGCCGCATGAAATGATTTGTTTCTCTTCCTCAATCATGCCGGTTTTCGACAAATGGTTGAATTTTTATTTGATTTCACATTATAGAAAGGAAAAGGAAAGAAAAGTCCACATTTTGGCACCAAAAAGCCTTTCTAATCTTAAGTCAGTGCCCCTGAAGGATAGATAATGTAAACTCCCCCATGAAAGTGGATGGCCTGATACATTGGAAGGAGTTGAATATGAAAAAAAAAATCCTGGGCAGAGGGAATTGAACCATTATTAACTGCTGAATTATTGAATACGTTTGGGAGGTGTACCCAATGGCATTCAGCATTTCCGTTCTCGTTCTGTTCACCCAAGTCTGGCAAAATTTGCCCCCTGTTGCCTATCATCGCTTTGAGTATTGAATTTGAAGATTAAACATCTTGACATCAATTTTTGTCCGGGGATGATTTTTTGTGTGTATTTTTGGTCTTGTTCCCTGTCTTCTGTCAACAGGTATCCGTGCTTTGAAAACCCCTATCCCATGGACCTTCACGAGTCCCCAGTCACCTGTGTGCAATACTATTCCGACTGTCCCTCGGATCTCATACCGCACCTGTATTCCGCCGGCTCAAATAGCCTGAACAGGAAGAAGCAGTTGTACAGTAAAAAGGTGAGATCTCTCTTTGCAGTCTGCAGACCAGTTGGCTGGAGGTGGAACGCGTTTCCAGCAGCTGAAAGATTTCAGTGAAGAGAAATATTGTGTTTTTTCATTATTTGTTCTAACTTTTCGGGTTCAATTTATGAAATGGGAGAACTTTTGGGGGGCTTGACTCACACTGATCAATAAGTGATGGATACCATTAAGCTTTGATATCTCACCTGAGCCACCATTGTCCATCCTCACAGTATCTCCAGAAGATGATTTGAACGCTCAGTTGTACTCAGCATTTGGGGACTACATGTAGGTGGGCACGTTCATTCTAATGGATACTCTACGGATTCAAAAATTCAAAATGGTTGTCCCTTATTTAACACGTTACAAAGAGGGAATATGCAAATCGGGGCCCTATTGGTTTGACACTTTAAAAGCCGTCTTAAATTTAGCCCTGTAATCACAGAACTCTGTCTACGGCCCCCCCCCAAAAAAACAACTTGGTGCTTATCATAGGAATCTGGAACAGTCTAAGTAGGGTGGAAGAACGTGGGCCCCATTTCGCGGTTGGCAGAGTTCCTGGCTGGCAAGTTAGTCAGTGTTAAACACTGCATAAAGAGCCTTTTAGAGCACAGCTTGCTTTAAAGGCGCGGGGCGGTCGTTGTGTTCAGTTTTCAACAGCTGTCATCCTTGGGTCTGTTTGTTTCACACGGATCCGAATTGCATTCAGCGATCTGTCGTCAGTTCACTGACACCAAAACCCACCTAATGGATAGCAGGAACCAGTTCTGGCATCACTGATTGCAATCCAAATCCATGTGAAACAAATAGACCCATAGTTAATATACCTCACAGTATTTCCAAGGGTTTTTGCCGTTCTAATGTCTAGCTTCTTGGTTCTGCTAATTTCAGGGTTTTTTGCTATTGTTTCGTTACTGAATCCTTTGTCAATTTCACATTAATGGCGGAGTGCCGTACCTTTAATGCTGTGATTCAGCAGTAGAGATGTTCACGCATGGGCAGATGTTGACACATTGGGGAATTTGGTCACGGTTGACACAGTTTCAACATTACAGCTTCTGTCTAGGATGAGAAGGAACTGTTTGAAGTTGGTTCTAGAAATTGCCTTAAAGGGGCTGCATGTATGCTATACTCTCTCATAAATCGCAATTCCATTAGAGGATCAATATTTCAAAATGTCAAGGTACACGCACTCCAAATCTCAGAACATCACGTTTACACAGTTCTCAGACTAATGCCCAAATCTGTCGGCCTCTGTAGCACAGCAGACGCCCACTTTACTGTTTGGCTGCCAGGCAAGGAAAAAAAAATAATAATGTGCTGGCGAGACGACTACTTGTGACAGAAACCTGCAAAACGCATCAGGCCTGGCAGCCGGCGCAATGGCGATAGGCAATTAATTGGTAGAACCTTGCACGTAGGATTAACCACAAATACACGTACATCCAGGACTCTTGGATTTGCTCTGGGAAAGACTCGTGTTCTAAGCCGTTAACGAGAAGAACATTACGGTGAAGCCGGTGGAAACATTAGCAGATGACATGACTGCGAAGCGTAACCTCATTCGTGTACACTGTATCTCTCATTTCCCGGAATTGCATCCTTTGGTACTGACAGATTCCTGGTACGTGTACGGTATGTGGCACCGGTTATAAGGGCAGATGCTTGTCTCCCTATCAGATCAGCAGGTTTCTGGTACAAGAACCTACTCATAATAGTAACTGTGGGTATCCGTGCAGTTGCAGTATCAACTATCAAGAGAGGGAGAGATCGATACATCACGACAAAGAACAACCCGACAGAAATGGCCCGAAAACTCAGGCCATGATTAAATATCTGCTGGTTTTTATTAATCAGTTGCATGTAGTCGGTATGGCTCTCCGGAATCGTCGGCTTACGTGTTAGGATTTAGATTTGTGTTTCTCAGCCAAGATTACAGAGCTACATTTATTTATTGGACTTTGTTTTGTCTTTGTTTTCCTGCAGAACTGGCCAGTCAAAGGAGGAGGCTGGGGAAGTGGTGGAAG